AGATCCTGGACAGCTGGAAAGCTTGGGAGTGAGGGATCACAGCATGGTGAGACCCTGTCGAGAATGTGTGTGTGTGTGTGTGTGTGTCCGTCTGTCTGTCTCATAAAAGAGAGAAAGAAAGAATTTTTTAAAAATAATAGGGTCGGGGCAGGTAGGTGACACGGTTAAGGTGCTGGACTCCCACATAGCTGACCATGGTTTGAGTCCTGGACCTGGTGACTTGCTGTTTCACTCCCCGCCCCCCCACCCCCAGTCTCTCTCTGGTCAAATTTTAAAAATAATAATAAATAAAATGAAATGAAATAATTCTTTAAAAATAACAACAACAACAATAGGGTCAGTCCCCTAACCTAGAGGTTGATGGAGCCTGGTCCCCCATGGCCAGCTATGGTTCAAAGGTTCAAATACTGCCTGCAGAGGCTTGAAAAGCAGCCTGCACATCTGTAGGTGTGTGTGTGTGTGCCACAAGTCCCAACAGATGGGAAAGTGAAGGAGACAAGATTGCAGCATTACCATGACCCATGTGGGTGCTTTCTTCCTCTCTGTCTTCTCTGGTGAGCATTTGCCCTCTGACATTTAAAGAGAGAAAAACTAAATAGAAATTGCAAAACAAAAAATTCAAATATAGTTATGTATTGCTTAATGATGGGAATATGTTCTTTTATTAAAATAATTATCTTATTATTATTTTATTGAACTTTATTTTTTTATTTGAATTTGACCAGAGAGAGAGAGAGAGAGAGAGAGAGAGAGAGAGAAGAGGGTGAAATGAGAAAGCAAGCTGCCAGGTCCAGGACTCAAACCATGGTCGGCCATGTGGGAGTCCAGCATCCCAACCACCACGCCACCTGCCGGCCCCAATGATGGGAGTACGTTCTAAGAAATGTGCTGTTAGTCAATTTTGTCACTGCGTGAACATCAGAGCCTACTACACACCCAGTCTCTATGTTAAGGCCTATTATTACCTTTTTAATTAATCAGTTCATTTGAAAAGAGAAAACACCCCCAACAGATTCCCCACAGCAATGTACCCCCTAGCCTCGGCTAGCTCGAGATCACACACGAGGATGTGCCTGGCAGATTCAGGGACACAAACCCAGAGCCCTCACACGGGTCACCCTTGCAGAGCGTAGTGTTACCACACCACCCCGTGCACGTGTTACCACACCACCACCTGCCCCATCGAGCCTGTCGTGGGACCACCGTCATGCGTGTGGTCTGTCCCTTTTCAGGGTAGGAGTCTCTAGCCTGTGAGCTTCCTTGGTCCCAGGGCGGAGTTTGCGATCTCAACCTTACCGTCCTCTCCATAGCGGGCTCGAGTGCCCCCTCTTCCCAAAGCACCTCTTTCCTGCCTTCCTACACCCCAGCGCAACTAGCTCAAAGTAATTTCTTTCTCCTTTGCCTCTGATATAATCCGGACATACTCTTCTGCCCTCTCCCCCCAACTCACCATAATGGGATTAAGAGGGTGAAAACTTGATCCAATTATGGGGTGGAAAGGAAGGGCCTTTGGAAAGAGATTAGGGTCATTAGGGCAGGGCCCATGATTGGGGTGACACAGAGAGGGACACTCTGATGGACTCAGCTGTTCTGTTCGACTCTTGCCCTGTGACGTGATCAGGGCCCCACAACAGGAAATCCATTCCATGTGGCCCTGGGCTTGGACCTCTGAACCATGAGCTGAACAAACCTCTGTTTTTATAAACCGCCCAGTCTTAGGGATGTCTGTTAGCCACACAGTCTCAACTAAGACAACCTCCCTCTCGCCTTGAAACCACTCACTTCCTCCCCTCCCGCTTGGCCATCAGCCCCTGAGGGCCATCCTCCTTGTCCCTGGATCTCTGGGTCTCGCAGGTGCTTGAATACGAGAGGCACTCGATGCACCTTTGCTGAGTGCACTGATAAATACTTGCAGCAATGAAGAATGGCAGTACTCCAGAACACCTCATTCTCTGAGCTGGCCAGGGGCTGTGCATAGGTGCTGTGTGCTGCCTCTCAGCTCGGGACCAGAGCCTCCCTTTTACCCATCGCTGCAACTCTGGTGTGGCCCAGGCTGCCCAGGGCCTCAGCCCTTTCCCTGGAGCACGCTCGTTAGTCAGCACACTCAGACAAGTCCTCAGTCCTGTCCCTGGAGCACGCTCGGCAGTCAGCACACTCAGACTAGGCCTCGGCCCTGTCCCTGGAGAACGCCTGGCAGTCAGCACGCTCAGACTCGAGCCTCAGTCCTGTCCCGAGTCCCTCAGCTCTTTCCATACTTGGGAAGTGGGCTGAGACAGAGGTGACAATCCTGTCACCATGAGCTCCAGGAGATGGATGACATTAACACACACACAGATCTCCCCATCTTACATGCGAGAAGTGTCAAGTGACTCGAAAACGGACACAAATCACACATACAGATGGGGGGGGCACCCCAAGCACCGCTGTCTGGGTGGACACTCTGAGCACCCAGGTCACCGGAGAACCCTAGGAGCATGACTTCCGCTGTCTCAACCCTTGATCTAAGTAGACCCTAGCGCTGTTTCCTGAACAGTTCCGGCTTTGACAGATTCTCTCCTGGGACCTGGAGCCTTGCTCTGGACCTGGGCCGCAGCCTCTGCTGCCTTTTTTTATTTATTTACTTTTTAAAGATTTTTGCTGTGGGGCATGTGTGCTCACTAGAGAGAGACAGGGAGAAAGTAAGAAATCACCCCCCAGCGGGGATGGCCATGCCACAATCCCTTCTCCACTCTCCTCTCAGAATTTTGGACACACACACGCATGTGCCCAGGGTGTTTTTCAAGTCATGGTCTGGGACTCAAACAGTGGAGTCGGCCATGCAGGATCCAGCACCTTAACCACCACACCGTCTGCCGGCCCCACACCTTCTTCCTCTTGCGTAAAGTACACATAGGATGTCCCATCTTAGCCACTTTGAAGAGTGCAGTTCAGTATAAGTTGTCATGTTACATGGCCATCGCCACCAGCCATCACCCCAAATGAAACTCAGCGCCCCACAGACACCAACTCCCCACTCTCCTCTCCACCCCCTGCAACCGCTATTCTGCTTTCCGCCCCCGTGGGTTGACTGCTCCAAGTACTTCACGTCAGTGTGATCACAGGTATGTGTTCTTTTGTGATTGGCTTTTTTTTTTTTTTTTTTTGGAGAGGTTTTTGCTATAGGGCGCGTGCACTCACCAGAAGGATGGAGAGAGGCAGAGAGAGAAAGCAAGAAATCACCCCCCAGAGGGGATGGCCACACCGCAATCCCTTCTCCTCCATTCTCTTCTCAGGATCTTGGGCACGCATGCACGTGTGCCTGGCTTGAGTTTAAGCCACCAGGTCTGAGACTTGAACCGCGGTCAACTATTTGGGAGTCCAGCAACACAGCCATTATACCCTCTGGTGGTCCCAAGTGACTGGCTTATTTCACTTGGCGTAATGTTTTCAAGGTTCATTCATGTAGGAGCATGTCAGAATTTTCCTTCTTTTTAAGACAGAATAATATCCCACTGCATGGACAGACCACATTTTGCCTGTCTGGTCGTCAGTGGGCCCATGGGCTGCTTCCAGCTCTCGGCTCCTGGGCAGTGCTGCCGTGACCGTGGCGTGCAAGCATCTGTGCTAGTCCCTGCTTTCGGTTCCTTTGTGGGCCCGGACTCCGACTTCCCCCGAAACCATCAATATCCTGACCTTGGGCGTCTCCAGGCCAGTCTCTATTCCCTCAGGAGAGGGGGCAGGGGAACGGAACCCTGACTGGGCTCTCAGGTGACACCCACAGAAAACACTGCATTGTCGAGAAAGAGCTGAGCGGAGCAGGAACTCAGGAACCCGTTTCTGTTCCCTCCTCATGGAGGGAGGGCAAATCAGTGACAATTTGGCAAGAAGCAAAGGAGAGTGGGACAACTCCCCCCCACACACACAGAGGAGACACATACCAGCGCCCGGAGGAGATGAGAGGACAAGGGGGCCCTCTATTCCCCGAAAGGGCAGGCATGCCGCAGAGGCGGCCCCAGGGGCTCCAAAGGGCAGCCTGGGCTGCAGGGGCAGAGGTTACAAAAAGCAAGAGCATGCAGAGACTGGGGCTGTTCAGAAGACCTCAGTTAGAGGGGTGCGGGGGGGGGAGGCGGGGGAGGCTGCAGTGTCTAATTTGACAGTTGGTCCCCAGCTCCACCAACTCCTGAAGCAGAGGAAGCGCAAAAGCAGAAACTCGAAGGACCAGCGTGTTACCGTGTTACTGTGTGTGGGTCTCTAGCCTCGGCTTCAGGGCTGGGCGCCTCAGTGCTCGGGCAGGCGGGACGGTGGGCAGACTACACCTGGGGCAAGGGTGGGGTCTGGTCCCCAGAGACTCCTCCTCACCATCTGCTGTAAGCGATTTTCAACTGGTGACATATTTTTCGGTGCCCAAGTGTCTAGGTCCAGATACCGAATGACAGCCTGGGAAGGGCACAGCCACTAAGGAGGAAGTTAGCTGCTTCTGTGGAAGTCTGAGCTTCCTAAAGTATAAAGGTGAATTAAATACGCCCGGCCCGCCGTGGCCCAGGCTCAGATCAGAGGCTCTCACTCCAGCCTCGACTGCGCAGAGGGGCTCTGCTCATGCCCCGTCAGCCGCGGGGGGATAGCTTTGCCTTCCCCTTGGTGACTCCAGCCCAGGAGCGGCCCTGCTTTGACTGCAGAGGTTCCTGGAAACCTTCAGGAAAAGTGGGGCTCTCAGGAGGAACCGGGGAGGCAAGCTTTCCCCTTAGATCCAGAGACCGCCTTGGTCTGAACCCACCTTTGTGGACTGCTCTGGGACCTTGAGTGTGTGACCTCAGCCTGGACCTGCACACGATGACCCAGCTCTCAGACCAGAACGAGGTGCCAAAGAACCTGCTGGCTCAGCTTTTTTCTCATGCTGGAGCCGAGCAAAAGATGGCCTGATGTCTCCATGGCGGTGACGCAATGTCCCCACCAGAGCCTCCCCCACACGTGTGGCTCTGGGGAGGCCCAAGAGCAGTCTCCACCCTGTACCCAGTACTGACCGGACTGAAGGAAGAGCCTGTCCACACTGAGATCCCACAGGAGACCAAAGGCTCCCAAAGAAGTTTCCGGAGGCCATGTCAGCAGCTGGGAGGAAAAACAATAGGTTAACTAAGCCCTCGCTGTGGAGTAACACAGCATCAGGTAGACGCCATTTAATCTCCAGTGCAGGTGGTAGGAGGACACTGTCATTACCACCACTGTGCAGACGAGGAGACCAAACGCTGAGGCCCAGCAGTGCCTCCACGATCGCACAGCTACTCAGCAGCAAGTCAGGCCTCAAACCCAGGCCTGTGTGACTTGAAACCTGCTCTCCTTCCATGTCCCTGTGTGGGAGTCTTGGTCCTTCTGCTCCTGCCTTCCTGGGGTCGCAGCCATGCCCCTCCAGGGCGGAGGCTGGGGTAGAGGGAGAAGGACTGACCACGGTCAGCTGGAACGGGGCCAGGCTGGCTCCCACTGTGGCCCTCGACTCTCTTCCAGGTCAGTGCCTTGATGTCCTGTCATCCGAGCTCACCGGCTGCACTGCGCACAGGTCCTCAAACCACGGGGCAAGGGGTGGTCACCCAGCTGCCTCCAGTGCACCGAGATCCATATTTGCTTTTTTTCCCCTAAAGAATCATTTAATTTTATTTGTTATTATTATTTTAATGTGCTATAGGGCATGTGCACTCACCAGAGTGACACGGAGGGAAAGGGGGGGGAGGAGTGAGAAAGTACCCCCAAGGTGATAGCCATATCGCAATTGCCTTTCCTCCATTCTTCCTTTGGGATCCTGGGTAAATGCATGTGCATAGGGAAAGAGAGGGAGGGAAAGTGAGAAAGTAAGCTGCCAGGCCCTGGACTTGAACCACGGTCAGTCATGTGGGAGTCTGCCAACTTAACCCCCATGCCACCTGCTGGCCCTTCGAGATCCCTATGTGAATGCTCTCCCTGGGCACTGACCTTAGAGGGAGTGCCTGGCCCAACGTCATGCCCTCTTCAAGTACAGCTTCTGTCTGACAACGCGAGTTCACTGAGGGCTTCTACTCCCCGCCTCTGTGGCCCTTCCCCAGCTGGTGATGAGCCCATGGAAGTCAGGAGGGCTGAGGCTGAAGCCTGCTCACCCTGTGCCCATGACACCCAGTGAGGACCCCAGGGAGGTGGGAGGTGGGCAGGATGAGACCCCAAAGAGAGTCAAAGGAGTAGGGTTGGAGGGGTCTGTGCCCTCACTTGGCCTCAGCTCTCAGGATGGACCCCAGGCCCGCCTAAGCCCACAGCCCTGTGCCCTCATCCACCTCGCTGCCTTTGATCGGACCAGGTGTCACTTAACCCCTCTCAGGCAAACCAGAATCTCCTTCCTGTAGGTTCAGATTTTGGTACAGGGCCTGGCCTTACCTGGCCATGGAGCCTCGGGAGGAGAGAGAGGCAGAGGCCGGTCCTAGGATCCCAACCCTGCCCAGCCCTGGGACCCCATGAAACACCCCACATTTTCATGAGAATCCCCCTGGTGGCTTCGTGAGCCCCCAGACCTCTGCCTCTGGTAGCCAGTGTCCTCACTGGCTGAGGCTCCAAAGTACTCTGAGTTCACTGACCCTAGAAGGCTCTCGAAGTCAAGTGCACCCCTTCTGCTGATCTGGCTCCAGTCACAAGCCAGGTGGGAGCTCTCTCCTTCCTGTGGAGTGTGGGCCAGGGCCTCTGCACTAACCTCGTTCCTCGCAGGTGACGCCCAGGCCCTATGCAGAGCTGTGGGAGGACACTGATTTACTCGTTTAACCTCCACAGGACCCAGCATAAGGGGTAAGGAACCAAGGCACAGAGCCAGTGCCAAGAAACTGGCCGAGGGCAGCACCGCGCCAGGTGACAGGGTCAGGATCTGCTCTCCTCTCTCTGCCATGGGGCTGGAGCCTCCATTCCTCTGCTCTAGGCCCGCCCCAAGCCCGGGGTCTTAGGCCCTCGTTGACACCAGCCCACCAAAAGGGAAGGCACCCCACGCTGTGTCAGGTCATGCAAGGCCCCTCTGTGGCACCGTCTCAGACGGGCCCTTTGTCTCCCAGCGCCTGACTGTGCGTCTCGTCACAGACAGTGCAAGGAGCAGGGAAGCTGCGCTGCCTGTGCGGAGAATAATGGCCGCACTGTTCCCTGTTCCGCACCCTCCGTTCCCGCTGGACCTGGGGTGGGAGGGCAACAGCCACCAACACGAGGGCTCCAGGAGCCCATGGCGTCTGCTTCCTCTGGGGCAGGGAAGAGCAAGAGGAAAGACCCCCGCATGAGGCCGAGAGTGTCGGAAGGCCGTTCCTGTAAGGCAGCAGCCTGCCAGCGCTGAGGAGTTCCTGAACAATCTGGCCGCACGGCTGCTCTGACTACAGCTGGGGTCCAGGCACCAAGTGGCAGGACTGGACCAGCTGGAACCTGCAAGCTGCCCATCCCCAGGCAGGGACGGTCCTGGGTGGGAGCCAAGCTAGGCTGGCACCCTCGGGCCGTGCACTCGGGCTGCAGCAGTTGGTCCCTGGGTTCTCCCTGCTGGCTTCTCCCTCTCTCTCTCCCAGCAAAGGTTTCAAGCCCTGGGGCAGACTGCGTGTGCCCCCAAGGCGGAATGTTCCAGCTGCGACCGGGAGGGAAGGAAGGAGGCAGAGGGCGGCTGTTGTAGGTGCTGCCAGCTGACCTACAACGGCACAGCGGGAAGCGAATGCTCAAACACTGAGAACCCTCAGCTCTCAATTGGCAAGGGTCCCTACTCGTCCAGGGGTGCCGTGGGGCTGTGCGGGGCCTGATCACCCTCCCGCTGCTATGAGATGAGAGACATGACTGTCAGAGACGACAGGAGCACTGACACGGGGAGCAGTTGTTCAGTACCTCTGGGAGCTTAGAGTGCAAGGGCCCTTGGGACAGCTACGACAGGGCTTCTGGGGGCACAGACAGCACCTCGGGGGTGAGGACAGCAGAGGCTCCCAGGTGGTCGCCAGCTCTGAGACCACCCTGGCATCCTTGGCATTACCGTGAGGATTCCGGCTGGATCGGCCTTCCTCTCTCCTCCTGGCCTTGGACTAGCCTAGCAGCACCAAGGCGAGAAGCTAAGTGCCCGGCCCCTCCCTCCTGCCCGGACTATGAGGCCGCAACACTCGCGCCACCTAGTGGCCCATCTGTGGTCCTCACCTGGAACAGCCACTGCAGCAGGGGCACCGGGCAGTGCGACGTGTGCAGGTAGAGGTTGCTCAGGAGGCCGCTGCGCAGGAAGGACAGCTGCTGGGAGGGCGAGGCGCTGCGGGGGCAGAGCGGAGAGCTTAGGAGAGGCTCCACACCTGGCGAGCCCACAACAGGGGCACGCCTGTCTCAGGGACACTGCAGGAGACTGTCACATCAGCGTCACAGTGATGCTGTGAAGCACATTGTGGTTCTACGCACAAACATGCCTGTAGAGCCCTGGGTGCAAGGAGCTGCAGAGGGGAAACCACCCCTGCTGTCACTGCAACGTCCGTTCTTCCGTGTGCTCTGCACGAACATGCCGTGCAGCGCTCGAAGCGCACGACAGGACGGTGCACTTTCCCTTTCCGTGTGAGGGGCGGGGGGGGGGAGGGGCACCCAGGGTATTGGCCAGGGTTACAGAAAGGACCTGGGGCTAGGTGCGGAGAGAACCCAGGAGCCGGGCGTCTTAGCCTCCAGCCCCGGCTGCGAGGGGAGGACAGGACGGTGCACTTTCCCTTTCCGTGTGAGGGGCGGGGGGGGGGAGGGGCACCCAGGGTATTGGCCAGGGTTACAGAAAGGACCTGGGGCTAGGTGCGGAGAGAACCCAGGAGCCGGGCGTCTTAGCCTCCAGCCCCGGCTGCGAGGGGAGGACAGGATTACCCGCGGCCATGGCCAGCATCTAGGGTTCTGGTTACACGGGGCGTTTCTGCCCCATCTTGTGATTTTCCGACACAAAGGAGACACCTGAGAGGATGGGAAATAGCACAAAGGGGCCAGAACTGGGAGGTCCTGGGACAGAAATGTCCAGCGAGGGTTCCGCAGAGGACTCTTCAGAAACCACTTGAGTAGCAACTGTCCCAGAGTGCAGGGAGCGGGCACCGCCAAGACGGGCCACGTGGCCTGACGACAACCCGCATGTCCACTCCTGCAGCCCTGCCGGGCCCCTCCCACCCAGCAGCAGCCCCGGCGGTCGGACCACTGGCGTGGAGAGGCAGGGAGCCTGCCCTGAGAGCTTTGCCACCCTGGCAGGTCACCTGGACCTACATGATCCCTGATCACCACACGACGAGGTGTTGAGATAGTTCACGTGGTGGGACTGGCAGGCAGCACAGTAGTTAAGGTGCTGGACTACCACATGGTCAACTGCGGTTCGAATCCTGGACCTGGCAGCTTGCTTTTTCACTTGCCCTCTCTCTCTTCTGTCTCTCTCTGGTCAAATTAAATCATAATAATTAATAATTTTTAAAATGCAAGTTTATTTATTTTAAAAAAGAAATATTTCACGTGGTTGTAGGGTCTCTGATGGAAGTCATTTTAGAGAGGTTGGCTGGACTTTGTCACCCTCCCTAAACGCAGGTCCTCCCCAGAGTAACCATGCTGGGGGATGTCCTACCAACCTGGGGACAACTCCTTTGTGCTTTCTCTACATAATAACCCAAAGACAATGAATGTGGGTTCCAGGAAACGAAAAGGCAATTTCACGTTTGTTCTTTTTACCGGCCAAACGCAGGCAAAGAACATTCCAGCTGGTGTATAATACCACGGCCCTGGGTGGGAACCTCCTCGGTCAGCTCTGCCTCCCCCACTCCTCCTCCTTTTTAAAAAAGGACAACATACTTTCATCTGCCAGGGACAAAATGCTCCAAAACAAAGGTTCTCCTCCGAGCCAAGCTGCTGTCTCTGAGAATGTCCAGGCCATTTACAAATTGTGTTTTTTCCCTCAGTCACTTCGGTTCAGAGGAGAAAGCAGCTTTGTTCCGAGGTTGAGAAGCTCACCGCTCTCAAACAGACCCTCGCTGGCACAAACCAAGGCTCACACACCCCAGGGCTGCTGGCACGCTCCGGCATGCTCCACGTGCCCGGTCACAGGGACGCTCACGGACTGACCCCGAGATGCGTGGTTCACACACACACGGCACCCCGGACCCTGACGATACCCAAGGGAACAGTGCCTGCAGGACCTTGCAAACCGGCAGGACCCTGCCAGACACCATGTGGCGGGGACGCTGGAGACACTGGCTCCAGCATTCTGATGGGGGCACCCTGCCAGCCTCTCAGTGGGAGAACCGACTGTACAAGCCCCTGTTGGCTCAGAGTAACACGTTTACAACGGCTGGGCCCAGGGGGGGACGCCCTCGGGTTGCAGCGTCTCCCTTCTGCTGTGCCAGCCTCGCGGCTCCATCCCTGCCAGGGAAACCATCGGTCTGCCTGCGGGCTCACGGCTGCTGTGTTAGGCTTCATCGGCAGGACCAGGAGCAACGGAGCCAGAAAGGGCAGTCTCGCTCTGTCTTGGAGTGAGTGGCTTTCAAGGAATTCTGTGTCTTGAACTAGAGGAGATGCTGGGCCTCTCCTCTGCAGGCTGGGCCTGAGGAGAGGGCTGCCTCACCCCTGCAAGCCCCAGGCCTCTGGTGCCTTGTGAGTGGCGCTAGGTCACTGAGCTTGGCTGCGCGGTGGGAAGGGGCCTCGTGTGGAGATGCCGCCCTGACGGCAGGGCAGGGCCGGAAGAAGAGCCCCACAGGGGCACCTGGGTAGGAAGCCCCTGGGGGTCTGTGGAGGGTACAGTGAAAGCTCAAACCCCTGGGCTGACACAATCAGCCGCTGTCAGATTTCAAATGCCTGTGCCCTCCCCGTGTCCAGAAAGCCCATGCTGGGTTCGAGTAAGCGCTTCTGCCCTGGCCAAGCTGACGATGAGGTCAGTTATCCGGAGAATGTCAGGGGACCTGGGAGGGAGGGTGGAGGCTCTGTCCGCAGCAGATGCCATGCAGGCCTGGCTGAGCTCAAAGCCCCAGCTGTCAGCCCTCGGACCCCAGGGAAGGGCGGTTCTCACACAGCCCTCAGCTGGGACTGGAGAGGACAGAGCACGGGGAGCAGCCCCTCAGAACGCCGCTAATCCCCAGCTATGGTGGCAACGACAGCAGCAATGACAGCAGTGGGCGGGTGTCTGCTCCCGCCTCATCCACCCACTGGAACAGAAGATGGAGCGGCAGGAAACTGACCGCGGACGGGAAACACACAAAACCAGGAGACAAGTGGGGCACCGGCTTTGTTCCAGGCCTGGGCTTCCCAAGCAGAACTCCAACGTTCTCCTTGGAATTTCTGCTCCTGATAATGTTCTACCTCCTCACCTATTGCCCAGTCCACAGCCTCGGGCCACAGTCTCTAAATGCCTGGGGAATCCCGAGTGCCAGCAGAGGGAGGAACACCAAGCGCACTCATTTATCAGCATCCGTGTCTAAGCCTTTGCTAAGTGACTCGAGTAAGAATTTAAATACGCTGCCTACGTGGGACAGAGGCAGAGGGTGTCAAAGCTCTCCCAAGCTCTTTTCTTCCTCTCCGGTTTAAAGCCAGCTCACCAAGGTCAGCAGCCCGGGGAGGCCAGCAACGCCCAGCCCGTGGCCTTTGCTAGCTCTTCAGTATTTTGAGGAGCAGTCTTAGCCAGCTGGACAGCTCATCCCTGTCCACACTCCATAACTGCTGGATTTATTTCACTCAGGCTTCCACCCTGGCATCTTCCCCCAGGAAGAGGAGTGTGTGGAGGAACACAAGCTGGGGCCTGCTGCAGCACCATTGAAGTTGTGGGCTGGGCGGTGCCTCCTGCCTTCTCCCGCCTGCTTCAGCCCTCATGCCTGCAGCAGCTGACGCACCTGGAGGGCAGCGTAGCCCCCGATGCAGCCTCAAAGCCGAGGGGCCTGAGAATAATTCCAGGGGCAGGCGACCTCTCCCCTCCTGCTGGAGCTTGCCTCTGCCCTGAGCGCTATGTTGCTGTCAAGGGAGAAGAAGAAAAGTTCAGCTCCTGGAATGGGCTGGGACCCACATCTGTCATAAGGACATGACTTTGGTTCCAGGTAACAGAACCAGCCCAGCAGTGGACAGAGGGTCATCTGAGTCAGTGCCAATCACACACCTGGGGCCCGGGGAGGGGCACTCTCTCACAGAAGCCCTGAGGTCCGATCAGGGAGGCTGTGCTCCGATGCCGTGTCTGCCTGCACCTGCTCCATGATCTGGGACAAACTGCTTCCTTCATCTTGGGATTCCCTAGGCATTTGGAGACTTTCCTTCATCGGGGCCGACGTGGCCCACTCTGCTCAGAGGGAAGACAGATATCTTCCCCACTTCACAAGAGGGTCAGGAGAAGTGAGTCTATTTAAAGAGATTTAGGGACCAGCAGTTAGCGTAATGGCTATGTCACTGAACTCCCATGGAGTCGACTGCGGTTCGAGTCCCGGACCCGGTGGCTTAAACTCACGCCAGCGCGTGTGTGTGTGTGTGTGTGTGTGTGTGTGCGCCCACCATCCCGAGAGGAGAATGGAGGAGAAGAGATTGCGGCGTAGCCATCTCCCCAGGGGGTGATTTCTCACTTTCTATCTCTGTCACTCTCTGTCTTTCTGGCAAGCGCACGTGCCCTATACCAAAAACCTCTCCAAAAAAAAAAAAAAAAAAAATAGCATTCATGGAGGCCAGCAGGTTAGGTATGGTGGGTAAGGCACTGGACTCCCACATGGCTGACCACAGGCTTCAAAATCATGCTGGGAGAGTGTGCGCGTGTGCCCCATATTCTAAGAGAACAGAGGAGAGGGGATTATGACACAGACACCCCCCGAGGGGAGTGAGTTCTCATTTCCTCTCTCTCTGTCTCTCTCTCTGGCAAGCACCCTATGGCAAAAAACTGAAAATAAAATAGAATTCACTCTTTTCCCCCTCTCATCGTAACAATGACACATGGTCGTCGTAGAAAGCAAGGACAATGAGAGGCATCTTAGAGGGAAACAAGCCTGTCCTGCCGCAGAGCTCACTCTTGGGCGAGAAACTGAACGGACTGCTCCTGAAGAGAGCCTGAGCCCGTCCCCTGCCCCCCGCCATGGCCAGGCTGACTGAACGCGCCGTGGGCATTACTGAATGGCGACTTCGTCCCCCTCTGCCTGAACCTGGCACAGACAGGAAATGAAAAATGACCCAGACCTAAGGGGGGGGGCTTCCAGGAAGTGGCCCGTCCCCTCTGCCCAGCAGGCATTCCTCCAGAAAACCCTGGGCAGCCTCCCAAAGCTGCGGATTTGAGGTGGTGGCATTACTGTCACCACTGTCCTTTATTAGCATATGTGAGGGAGGGGAAGGGGAAGCTGGGCGGCCACCTGGTCCCACTTGGCAGAGCTGCTCTGAGCCCGAGTCACCACTCCACGGGCCATCTCATCTGTCAAGCACTTCCGGTCCGCCGTCCAGCCGGGGACAGAAGACCTGCTGTCGCACAAACCCAGGGCCAACGTGGGACCGGGAGAGGCTCTCTCTTCTCCTGTCTGCCCTGACTCCTGCCCACCCATCCTTTGCCCCCTCCTCTCTCCAGATCCCCTGCTGTTCTTCCCCAGTCATTCCCTCCCCGCTCTCTGTCATCTCTTTATTAGATGCCTCGTCAATATGGCGATGTGGACCTTTGCCAGCGTTCATAAACTCAGACCCAATCCTCTCCAACCACAGCGAGGAATATATTCTAGGACTCCAGACAGATACATATGTACGAGAATATCCGCCACCACGTGGCTTATGAGAGGAGAGCCGGGTGTAACACATGTCTGAAAAGTAAGGGAATGGCTAAGGAGGTCGGGGGTCAGCGCAGCGCAATCCACTAATATTATGCTAATTGCAAGGTTTGGACTTTGTTTAGATGCTCATTTGAATAACCTACAAAAAAAAGTATAAGGCAATTGAAATCTAAACACTGACTGACGTGATCTTAAGTAGGTTTTTTTTTTTTTTTTAGATGTAACAATGGTATCGAAGTTATTTCTAAAAATAGGGTCCTTTGTTTAGGGGCATGCACTGAAATATTTACGGATGAAATGATGTGAGTCTGGGCTTTGCTTACACGTGATCCCGGAGTGCGTGTGGGGGGCCGGGGAGCACTGGCAACAGCCGTACAGGGATACTGTGGTGCTGAGGCCGTGTGGGGCCAGCCTGGCATCAGCGGCCTCCCTGTCCATGGAGGGCATGCACACACGTGACCCTGCCTGGGGGAGGCCCAGGGTGAGATCAGAGCATGAGGACCCTGTTAGGGGCAGCTTTCTCCCCCGCATGGAGGAGATACATAAATAACACCAAAAAAAGGAATGCAGGGGGATGGCGTGGGTGGGGGTCGGGAGGAAAGAGACTGGTTGAACTGGCCCCTGTAGAAGCTGAGAGACGGCATGGAGGGAGGTTACACTGCTCTCTCTACTTTTTATACATATGCTCACAGTTTCCATGATAAAAACTTATTTTTTTCTTTTTGGAGAGGTTTTCGCTATAGGGCGCATGGGCTCGCCAGAAAGACAGAGAGATAGAAAGTGAGAAATCACCCTCTGGGGGGATGGCCACACCGCAATCCCTTCTCCTCCATTCTCCTCTTGGGCATGCACACACATACGCCCAGCATGAGTTTAAGGCACCAGGTCCAGGACTTCCCATGTGCGACTACATGGGAGTCCAGTGACATAGCCATTATGCCAACTGATGGTCCCTCCATGATAAAAACTTTTTTCTTTTAGAGGTTTTTGCTATAGGGCGCGTGCGCTCGCCGGACAGAGAGAGGCAGAGAGACAGAAAGCGAGAAATCACCCCCCATGGGGGATGGCCACACCGCAATCCCTTCTCCTCCATTCTCCTCTCGGGATCTTGGGCACTCACGCACACAGTTTTAAGCCACCGAGTCCGGGAATGGAACCACGGTCGACTACGTGGGAGTCCAGGGACACAGCCATTATGCTAACTGCTGGTCCTCCCATGATAAAAACTTCTGAAGGAAGGCCAGCAGGTGGTGTGATGGTTAAGGCTATGGTTCGGTTCGAGTTCTGGATCTGATGGCTTGCTTTCTCACTTTCCCTCTCTCGCTCTCGCTCTCTCTCTGGTGAGTGTGTGTGCCTTGAAGCAAATTAAAAAATAATAATAATAAAAATTAAAATTAAATCATTCTTTAAAAATAACTTTTGAAGTATACCATGTTAAGACTGATCTTTAGGGGCCAGCAGGTGGCGAGATAGTTAAGGCACAGGACTCCCACATGGTTGACCGCAGCTTGAAACTCATGCTAGGCACATGTGTGTGGGTGCTCAAAATCCCAAGAGGAAAATGGAGAAGAGACGGGGGTGTGGCCATGCCCCTGGGGGTGATTTCACACTTTCTGTCTCACAGCAAGTGCATGTGTTGTAAACCAAAAATCTCTCTCTAAAAAAATAGATCTTTATAAAACAAAATGGACTTTGAGTTGATGAAGTGAATATGAGGAAGCCCTAAATAGCCAGGAAAGACAGCGAGCTCCCGTGTTCAAATCCTGATGTGCTCCGAGAGGGCACGGCAACAGCAGGGGGCACTCCGGGCTGGTGGGTGGGTGCAGGGTGCCCCCCATCTTCCTCACTCATTCCCTTCCCCATTGGACTGGTCTCCAGTCCAGTAAGGCACCAGCCTGTTGTGGGCGCCCAACGGAGAGCAGGCCCTTCCACAAAATCTCGCAAGTATTCCTTGTCTTTTATTCTTGCATACGTTAGTTCAGAATTGCAAGTGCTGGTATTACTGTGGTAGGTAAATCTTTTTAAAAATCCTTTTTTAAAAAATTGCTAAGAGGTGTGTGTGCTTGTCAGAGAGAGAGAGAGAGAGAGAGAGAGAGAGAGGACGAGGAAGCACTCCACCATGGGGCGTGGTCACAGCGCAGTCCCTTCCCTTCTCCTCCATTTCTTCCTCATGTCAGGATTTCGGGAACATACATGCACGCCTGATGTTTTCTTATTTTTTTTTAACTTAAAAAACTTTATTTATTTATTTTAATTTGACCAGACAGGGACAGAGTGAGAGAGAGAGAGAGAGAGAGAGAGAGAGAGAGAGAGAGAGAGAGAGAGAAAGCCGCCAGGCCCAAGACTTGACCCGTGTCAGCCATGTGGGAGCATCCAGCACTTTATGTGGGAGTCCAGTGCCCTTAACCACCACGCCACCTGCTGGCCCGACACTTAACATGTTTTTCCAGCCGCCAGGAGCAGGATGTGAACTGCGTTCAGCCACGTGGGATCTGGCTCCCTAACTGCTAGGCCATGGCACTGAGCCTTTAAAAAATTCTCTTGCCAAGCCACGCAGCAGTTATGTGGGGAAGGGAGCAAGGCGGCTGTCCTACTGTGGCAGAGTGTGTTTATGGCTGGGGACAAAGTTTCCAGTCGGGATCACACAGACCGGATGTGCAGCATGAGTCGAGTCGCTCCCCGCACGTGGGGTGCAGGGGAGGAAAACACACCATGATCACGTAGCGTGCGATGAGACACTTGCTGTAAAGTAGGATTTCCCAGGAAGTCAGTGAAGTGTTACAAGTAGACAGACGTGACTATGTCACCCAGATCCCGAAAGGCTGACGTACTGCACTGGCCGAGATCCTGCTTTGGATCTCCTCACTTGGGGTGGCCTTTAGCCTCGGGAGCCGGGCCAGGCGGTGCTGCACCGCACCCGCTCCCGACCACGCACACCTACCTGAGGAACAGCTCTTCCAGGCGGCTGTGTGGCTTCAGGTTTGAACAGTCCAGGATGCATGGCAGTGGGTGACGCCTGGGCAGAAACACAGTCTCGCCTGGATGTACGGACGGGATGACCTGCAGCGACACGGAGAACCTCTCCACCAGCATCCTGGCAAAGAAATGGGCAAGAGAGGTGTGTCTGGGTCTGCAGCCTGAAGGGGGCCCAGGGAGGCCAGGTGGGACCAGGTACTCCATGTCCAGCCATGCCCCCTGCAGACCAAAGGAGACAGCGCCCCCTGCTGACAGAGGAGTGCCCTAAGACGCAGCCCAAGGAGCCTTCCAATCTCCCACTGTCACTGTGTCCCAGTTCCCCTCTCAGGACACTAGTCCAGGGCCTGAAGACTTGGTTCCAGCCCCAGCTCCACCCTCTGGGTCAAACTTTCACTGTGTGTCTATGATGCCAGGTGTTGAAGGGTGAGTCAGGCGTGGGCTGGCCAGGAAAAGTGTAAACAAATTACCGCAAAGCCCTCTGGCAACTGGCAGTGCTGCAAGTGGGTAGAGGAGAGCAGGGCTGGGTGCAGCTAGGGTCAGGGAAGGGTGCGGAGCACTGGCGAGGGTGCAGTGAAGCAGGAGGACACTCCCTCAGTGTCGCAGGGAGGAGCCTGTACTCTTGTCTGGGATAACACGCTTCAGTGATGGTAGGGAGGATCACCCTGGAGCCAGCGGAAATGCAGACCCCCGGGCCTGGCGGTCTGATTTAGCAGGTGTAAGCAGGGCTCACGGACGGGGAAGGGACAGGGAGAATAAAGCGCACTCCCACTGTATCAGGGAGGGTGAAGACTGCCGGGACTTAATGACCCACTGAAATCAGCGTGGGGCAAAGGAGGCAGTTAAGAGGATTCCTAAGGAAGAACTAAATGTCCCGCTGACGAAGGACTGACATGGGCACCGGCCACAGAACACTGCTGGGTGAAAACAGCAAGGTCCTGGGTGAAAACAGCAAGGTGGTGGGTAGGGGCGCTGGGCTCCCACGTGGCCAACCGTGGTTCAAGTCCCAGAGCTGGTGGCTTGCTTTCTCACTTTACCTCTATCTCTCTTGCTCTGTCCCTCTCTGGTCAAATTAAAATAAATAAAGTTAGATAAAAAATTATTCTTTAAAAAAAAAAACCCAACAAGAAGGTGCAGAACAGGATATGTGCATGTTTTGTACATTTCTATACACGTATGTACTCAGAGACATACTTGGACACACATATTCACATACAACACACCCAACTAGGACCTGGGGTCATCCCTAGGGAAAAGAATTAGGGGGAAGAAGCAGAGGAGAAGTGCCCTGCCTCAGCTGCAGCAACATAACATGTTTAACAAGCACAGCACAGGACAACCAGCGATGGACGCCATCCCTCCTCTCAGCAGACAGACCAGAAGACGCCCATAGGCAGGTTCCCAGCTGGGCCCTCCTTGTGAGACAGCAAACCAGGGCAGGAACAGTCTGGGGACCCCATTAGGGTGTGGAGGTGGAGCAGCACGGCCCATGGCTGGCCAGCTGGCCACACAGAGTCGGTCTCACTTTCCAGGGACGTGACCAAGGTAGGGTCCCACTGCCTCCTGGGCCCACTGGGAGAATGAAATGGCACAGGGAGGGGAATGCCACCGGAACTGGAGGGATGCTGATCCTGCGGCTCTTCAGGAACAGCCTCAACAAACTGCCACGCCAATGGGAAGGCAATCTGCTGCTTCGTTTGCGTCTCTGCGGTCGGATGCTGCGAGTACCTGCTGCAGCTTCTTACGCTGCCTTTCTAGTTAAACCAAGCACAGCGTATTCAAAGCCTGTAGGACGAGGCTCATCTGTCCAGGGGTTCCAGGCCTGTCCCCCCAGATCATCACTCAAAGGGGCTTTTGTGACAGTAAATAGGATGTGTGTGCATTACCGAGAGTTCTGAGACGACTGTCCCACATCTAATTGAGGATTTCCTGTGCAGCCTAGAACTGAGGATAAAGGATGACGTTGTGGCTTAAATATCTGCGCCCCCCACCCTCGCCTCAGCACACATACAGGGTCTTTTAACTTCGAGAAATGAAGAATTCAGGGTGTCATCCACCCAGGGGGCAAGCCCATTCCTACAGCGTGAGCGGACGCCGTGCCCAGGCTGATCGGGTGTCCTTCCTTGGGCGGGCACTTGTGGCCATCACAGGACGCCTTGTCTGGCAGATGGCGGCCAGCCCCCACCCTCAGCCTCACCCCTGCAGACCCGCACTCCTCTCCTGGCACCCACCACGCGCCCGCCTCATTCGGGATGGGAGAGGCCGCCGGCTTTGTATGTCAGTAATTCTTCTCACAGCAGAAAGCTGAATAGTCCCATCAGAATGATTCCACATCAAAACCACCACCTCAAAGTGGCTGTTGTTAAAAAGGCTTTTTCAAAGCACCACTGAAAAACGTCACGTACCCAGAAAATTATCAGTGAGTTCAAAGCCGGGAACACCTTTTGCCTGAAGCTGGTTGCACAGATAACTCCCTTTCTTAAGGAATTTCAAAGCATCGAAGCCATGACTTCTAGAACCCTGGATGTACTTCAGTAGAAAGGCAGAGTGCTAGAATAACTGCTCCCACCACGAGATGTTAAGGAGGCCGTAGGAGGTGTGATTCCGTGAGTGGAGAATCTAGAAGCCCACTCCACGTGTCTCACCTCGGAGAGGAAGCTGTGTCCTCTGCACGTCATGCCGCCGAGGAGGCTTGTTGGGGGACTTTGGCACATTCAGCCCAGGCCCCCCAACACCTGCCCAGACTCCTCCTGAGATGGTAGGGACCGGCTCTGCCCTCGCAAATTCACCTTCACAGAAAGCTGCCCCCATCTCCGGGGCGGGCCAGGTGCTCCTCCCAGCTGGATGGCTGTCCAGATCTGAACACACTCCCAGGTGTTCCCGGCAAAAAGTGGCACCAGTCAGGAGGTGCGGATCCCCCGATCTGGGCCTGGCAAACCGCAGCCTGTAAACTGTTCTACGAACGAGGTTTTTCTGTGACGCAGCCACCCTCCCTCACTGGCTGCTGTCTGTGAGAGATTTCATGCGACGCGGCAGGTCCAATAGTTGCAATTCAAAACCCGTTTACTGCCAGGGCCAGGTGGCACAGTGGTTAAGGCGTTGGTCCCACATGGCTTGGGCGGTTTGAGTCAGACCAGTGGCTTGAGACTCACACCAGGCACGCATATACACGTGCTCAAAATCCCAAGAGAATGGAGGAAAAGAGACGGCGCTGACAGTTTCTCATTCTGTCTCTCTGGTTTGTGCACACACCCTATAGCAAAAATATCTCTCTTAAAAAAAAAAAAAGCAAAAAAACAATTTGCTACCTATTTATAAAGTTTGTAAAAAAGGTTTGCCAATCCTTGATCTAGTCAAGAGATGATTATTAGGGGACCAGCAGTTAGCATAATGGCTATGTCACTGAACTCCCATGTAGCTGACCGCAGTTTGAGTCCTAGACCCAGTGGCTTAAACTCACGCCGGGCACGTGTGCATGCGTGTCCAGGATCCCAAGAGGAGAATGGAGGAGAAGGGATTGCGGCATGGCCATCCCCCCTGGGGGAGGGGGTGATTTCTCGCTTTCTATCTCTCTGTCTCTGTCTTTCTGGCGAGCGCATGTGCCCTATAGCAAAAACCTCTCCAAAAAGAGAGAGAGAGAGATGATTATTAGAAAATCTTGAGAAAAAGGCAGCTGGCCAGTCGTGGTGTTGCTCATCATCCCCTCTGGGCAGCCATGACAGTATAAATCTTCTGTGGTCCAAAAGGCAGTCCCTGCCCCACACCAAGGCAGTCTGTGTCGTATTCAGCAGTCCCTTCACACGCAGACGCAGGAGCGGGTATTGAACCTGCACCAGCGGGGACCCATGTGAGACAGACAGGCCAGGGCGTGCTGGCTGACCTGCCCGGCTACACCGAGGGCCGCCTCCTCCCCTGCAGCTCACCCAGCCCCGGGGACATCTCATAGATTTCCCTCTGTCCCCACACGGCAATTCCCCCTTTCCCAGGTTGTTCCTTTTAGCATACGAAAATGCTGTTATTTCCTCCATGAAAGAAGAGAAAAAACGAGAAAGGTAAATAGAAAGAAGCCAACCGACCCACACACCCTGGCCCTCTCCCTCCTCGCCCACGGCCTATCCTTCCTTTCGCACTCTCCTATCCTCCCGTGCACCGCTTCCAGCAGGTTCGTGCCCGGCGGCCCTCCAGAGCTGCTCTGGTCACGGTCACCATGACCTCCACGTCGCTAGATGCAGTGGTCACTTCTTAACGCCCCCATTATTTTTTAAAGAATTATTTATTATTATTATTTTTAATCTGCTATAGGACATATGCTCTGAGAAGAGTGAGAGAGAGAGAAGAAAAGTAAGAAAGCAAGCCAAGTTCCGGACTCAAATCAGCCAGGCGCGTGGGAGTCTGGTGTCTTCACCACCACGCCACCTGCCGCCCCAGTCACCCCATTCTTGACACACAAGGAGCACCTGGCTGGCCTCTGACCTGATCCGTCCCTGTGGCTGCCTCCTCCACGGAGCCCCCCAATCCCATGCACCCTGTGCCCCTGGTCTCTCTGTACTCACGCAGCGGGGGATCTCATCCCGCTCTGTGGCTTTATTTTTATTATTGATTTATTTTGCTAGAGGTTGCATGTGTGTACCAGAGAGAGACAGAGAGAAAGCAGAAAGCACCCCCCAAGGGGACTGGTCACACCACAATCCTTTCTCCTCCATCTGTCCCTCCTGTTGGAATTTTGGGCACGCACACATGCACACACACACACATGCACACACACATGCACACATATTTCTCGAGCCACTGAGTCCAAGATTTGAGCCACACAGCCAGCCATGTGGGGTCCAGCTGCCTCGACCAGCCCTCCACGGCTTTGCGTATCACCTATACAAAGTGACTCCCAACCCTGCGTCCCCAGACAAGCTGCCTAGCTGACCCTGCCCCTGGGATTCCCCAGGCGACCCCACACCCACTCCCAGCCGGCTGTTACTATAGGCAACGCCAACCTTCCAGTTGCTTGGACCCAAACTCCTGGGGTCCCCTTTGATTCCTCTCTTTCTCCCAAGCCCTTGCCCAGCTCATCCGTGAGCCAAGCCTGTTTGGCCCTGGAAACATCTCCAGAATGTGCCTGCTCCTCACTGCCGCCCTCACCGAGCACCGCCTTCCTCCTGGATTCCTGCCTGGCCACCTTTCCCCTCTTGCTCCCTTTTCCCTGTCCCCCAGGTTCTCCACGCTGTGACTACAGGGTCCCATTCGAGCCTGTGTCAGATCAACAGCAGCCAGATGGCTCAGGGGAAGTGCTCCGGGCCCGGGGCCCTGCTCAGACTCTCAGACTGACCCTCACTGCTCCCTGGCACACCAGGGCCCTCCCACTCCCACTGCAGCCCCCATGGGGTTCTGCCTAAAGGTCTTCCCCCATGCCTTGTCCAAAATCTCACTTCCCTCCCAGCACTCCTTATGCCCTTCCCGACTTCACCCTTCCTCACAGGCACCTGTCACTCAGCTTCATCTGTCTCGGTTACTGCTGGGTTGCCGGCCTGAAGCAGGCCACACGAGGCCAGGGATCTGCCTGGTTTTGCTCTAATTAACGCCAATCCCAATCTTCTACTTGCTTGGACCCAAACTCCTGGAGTCCAAGAGAAAGGTTCCTCTTTCTCCCACACCCTCTGAGGCCGTAACAGCCTGCCACACAGCCGGCCCTCAGCACATGTTTACTGGAAGGATGGACAAACGGACAGGTAAAGGGCACTCCAGATGATGTTTGTGTCTGTCCCAAATAGTATGCTGAAATCCTAACCCCCAGTGGTGGTGGCATTAACAGGCGAGGTCTTGGGGAGGTGATTAGTTCATGAGGATGGAGCCCTCGTGAATGGGATCAGAAGTCTCAGGGGTCTCTCCTTAGAGGGAGACCGCTGAGAGCCCTCTCACCTCTTCCCACCCTCTGAGGACCCAAGACGAAGGTAGCACCTTGCAGCCCGAAAGAGGGCCCTCGCCAGGGCTGGGCCGCGCTGGTGTTCTGATCTCAGACGTCCTGCTGTGTACAAGCCGTCCCGTCTGCGGCCCTAACAGCGGCCCGAGTGGACTAGGACAGGTGGAAATGTGTGCTGAAGCCGGCTCACCTTGGTCCGGGCACCCCTGATGTGGAGGAGCCCTCCCTCTGGCCAGCGGCCCCATTAAACCAGGGCCAGCAGAGTCCCCACCAGCAGGCGCACCGACATAGCTTCCTTTCCCGCAGACGGTGGAGAACAAAAACTGCCACGTGGCCGTCACCTCCCCTTGGAAGACAGCTTTCACTGACGCTGTGGCTTGGTGTGGTTATTTCCCTAGAGGTCTGACTCAGAAATTTGGGCAGGGAATTGGGGCAGAGCTGGCTGAGTTGGACGATCTCTGTGTCCTCGCAGGCCCAGACGAGACCCAGATGCGCAGCAGGTGACCGGGTACCTCTCGGGTCAGTGAGTATAGGCATTTATGAGCAAGAGGCGGCCTGAACACCACCCACGTTGCACAGACTATTGGTCCAAACCATCCAGACCCGAGAGAGGGTCGGCACCTAGACACCTTCCTGCAGCGTCAGAGGTGGGTGCTGGCCCCCGCCCTCACCTGTGTTCAGGGCTGAGTGGCGCCTCGTCTTCGTGCAGATCCAAGGAACTGAGACTGAGGCAGTCCTGCAGAAGCAGCTCCTCCCGCTCCTGCTCCAGCGCCTGTTCCCTGAGAGGAGACGAGAGCCAAAGCAGGGTCAGGCTGCTCCTGTCGCCAGCCCTGTCGCCGGGCTGCAGGGACCCCTACGGCCAGGTCACAGGAAGGCCTAGGAACCAGAAGGCCAGCTGCCCCGGTCTCCCTGCCCAAAGGCTCTCAATCTAAGTTTGGGGAGAGGGGGACAGACTGTGCCGTCCTCGTGAGCAGAGAAGCCCGCAGGAAGGTGCATTCACCGCATGCCTGCACGCGTGTCTTCATGGCGTACCGTGTTCTGGCGCTCACTCATCTGTTCACACGCTGAGGCCTGGGCCTAGACTGCTTTCTCCTCCCCGGGCGCAGCCACAGGACCAGGAGAGACACCCACTCTGGCACCCTGTCTTCTGGGCACCCCGCAGCTCCTGTCATCGCCCCCTCCTGCCTTTCTCCCTGCAGCTCTGCAGGGGTCTGGACCCCTCCAGTTGTTCCCAGGGGCTCCTGAGTGCCTTACTCCCCCTTCCCCTGCCCCACCACAGGCCCTGCACTCCCACTATCATCTGGCTAGAGCCCCACTTCTCACCCTCCTCCTGCCTCAGCCACCTCACAAACCCCAAGTAGGAGGAGCCCATCCTCAGGCCTCCTCTGTCACTGCTCCCCGCAGCCTCCTGGCCCACCCGGCCCCTCCAGGTGCTTGCCCTGGCTAGGACTGTGTCCCTGAGTCCTCGGTTCTCAAACATTTTCTCTCCAGCCCAGGCTTCTGCCTTGGGCTCAGATCGTCCTAGCTGACTGACCGGGCCCCTCTGCTGCCACATGTCAACCACACAGGCCTCAGGTCCCAGCCACTCAGGCCATCAGACCCGTCGGGAGCCCCACCACCTCCACCCTCCCCAGGCCCACCTGATCCCCTCCTCACTAGCCCTCCCTCAGCCTCCCGGTCATTCTCCAAATGCAGTCTGAGTGATCGTTGTTAGACACACAGGAGGATCCATCTCTGCCTGCTTAAAATCCGCCACAACTCCGCCCCGTGTTCACAGGGCCCTACGTGATCCGCACCCCCACACCCCTCCACACCGTCCTGTGCACAGCTGGCTGCATCTCCTGCCACGCCCCTCCCACCCCTCGGCACCAGGAACCCCAGTTCTGGCCAGCCAGGAGCAGCCCGGTCTGTCCTACCCACCACCCATGGTTTGAATGAGCCAAAGTTCTCGTGATAAAATTTGGTCGTGATGGATTAATAGGGTGAAAACTTAATCCAAATATGGAGCTAAGAGGTGGGGGCCTGGGAAGTCATAAGGATGAAGGTTCTCAGGGTGGGGCCCCCATGACTGAATCCGGGCCTATCGGAGAGGGAATGAGACTGACGCGCTCTTGCTCTGCCTCGCCACGTGAATTCTCCGCATCGGAACTCTGTGCGGCTCCCCCACCAGCAAGAAGGCCTGACTTCGGGCCTCCAAAACCATAAGCAAAACGCACCTGTCTTCCTGGTAAATGACCCAGACTCAGCGACCATGGTCATCATACCCCTACATAGGCAGTCACTCTGCTCCCCTCTCCACCCCAAAACCACCTTATCCTGCAAGCCTCCCAGACAGGGATGCTTCAGGAGCCCTTTCTACTCCCAGGCTAAGGCAGACGCCACTGTCCTGGTGGGCCCTCCATACCAATCTGAGAGCTTGGGAGAGAGGAGCCTCGTCACATCGTCATGTTCGATTTCCGGGTGAGCAGGGGCTGTGGCATCGGCTCCGCTCTCCAGGGTTCTGCATGGGGCCGGCACACAGGGGGCTATGCACTAAATGCCCCCCAACCTCCAATTCATATATTGAAACCCTTGAGTCCCCCTTGTAGCAGTATCAATATAAGAAACTAATTAAGGTTAAATGAGGTCAGAAGGGAGGGCCCTGAGACACCAGCCAGCTTCCCCACTCCCTCTGCCACGTGAGGACACAGCAAGGAGGCGTTATCTGCAAGCCAGGAGGAGGGCTCTCGCCAGGAAATGGACTGGTCTGAGCCTCGATCCTGGATTTCCACCCTCCCGAACTGTGGCGTGCGGGTACAGCCACCCGAGCAGACTAGGACAGACATGAGCCTCCAAAGCCGGGCACACTGATGACCAGCCATGACAGTGCGCCGTGACTGTTCACTTTCCTGTCAACGTTCTCAGGCGCGGTGCTGGGCCCCGCAGAAATAGTATACACAGACACAGTCCCTCCCCTAACTTGCAGTCGAGCCGGGAGAAATCATACTCGGGGCGGGGGGAGGAGATGAACCACAGAAGCCTTGGGAGAGCAAGAGCTTAGCAGAGCCGTATGGAAGAGGGAGCTGGGATGGCTCTAGGGTGGCCGGGGCACAGGAATGGACGAGGATGGAGAACACTGTCCCGCACCCGCGTGTAAGTCTCTCCTGTGGGGGAGAACGCGGGGCCGGGAAAAGTAGAGACGAGTGAGCATCTTCCCCGCAGCAGGGGTGAGGCAGGAGGCAGAGCGGCCCACAGGAGCGACACCCCCGCCTGCACTCATGCACATGTGATGTATGCGCACTAAGCGAACATGACAAAACGAAAGGAGAGGAGAACAGATGACAAAGAGGATGGTGGTGAGAGCAATCTGCTCACGAGCCCCATGATGGGGACCCCCCCGCACACAGGCTGTTCCTGGCCATCTCACAGCGCGAGGCCTCTCCTACGAGCGGCAGGAGTCTCACACTGTCGCCCCCATAATCCCCCCACACTAGCCCGCCAGCTCATCAGACACTGGTGGTGGTTTCCGGCAGGGCCGACAGCTCCGAAGGGGTCTTCAGTTCTGGTCAGACCTGGGCTTGCCTTTAGACACTGCCAGGGAGTAGCAAAGGGACATCCTTCTGTGTAAGACCAGAGAGAAGCCAGGTGTGACCTGGATAAAGTACTCTGGAAAAATGAGCAGACCGCGCCAACATGCTAAGGGAGAGCAAGGCAGCAGGAGATGCTAGAACTTTCCCGTCTGCCCAGCCTGTCTCTCAAAGCCACACTTGGGCTGCGTGCCTCATGGCAAAGTCATCTGCCTTTCTACCTCGAGTGGAGACACCCCCAGGCTGCAATGAATCGGGCAGAATGAGGGCTTCGTAAGTGGTGGGGGTCCAGGGGTTCTTCCCCTTGGAGATGCCACCCTTTGACCTGACTACTGCTCCACACGCTTTGGTATTAATCAGAGCACGCTGGGCTCGCTCCGTCTGGGTGGGGAGGGCTGCTTTACTCTCACAGGGATTCGCTCTGAACCTTGAAACTGCTGCCAGCCCACAGAAACGAGCACCCCGCGTCGGACCCCTTCCCACACTCACCTCTTCTCTTGCAGTAAATAATCCAAGCTGTTGACGTAGCTTCCTGAGCCCCCGGAGGTGAGCTGACAAAGACGGAGGGGGCGACACTTAATCTCAACTGAGCTGTTATGTATTTATTTTGTTTACTTTTCTGAACAGGTAATAGATTTACAGAGTTTTTTTAAAAAGGTATAAAGGCATACAGTAAAACGCCAAGCCCTCCCTCCACCTCCGGCCTCCTGATCCCTCCCTGCAGGTGACCACCTCGGGCCTTCTCTGTGTGCTTTCAGAGGTGTTTTACACACAGAGCAGTGAGTGGTAAGAGGTCACAGAACCCCCCACTCTACCACGAGTGTAGTCACAGGCACCCCGTCCCGTACTCTGCTCCTCTGAATTAATCACGTGTTTTGAAGCCATTCTGCATTGATGCCAAAGAGATGCTCTGCTTTGGACACTCTCAGAGGATCCTCATCTATGACTAGGACACGATTTATTTTATTAGTCCCCTCGTAGTGGACACTGCGGTTACTGGCAATCTTGGGCTGTTACAAACAGCTGAGCCCCTATTCTCAGAATACATTTTCTGGATCTATGGCCCATAAATGTCCCTACAGACTATCAAGCAACAGTAGTTGATTCCTGATCTAAAGTCCCTCACTGAAGCCCCCACTTAGGAACCCTGACCCGCTGCACCAGAGCCAGCCTCAGTCTTTGTGCCTGACTCGGTCTGAACCCTGGCATCGAGGTCTCGCCTTGCTCCAAGGCCACAATCCCAACTTTATCGAGGGAAGCCTCTATGCAGAAGTGGCATCAAACACGGTGCTCCCCCTGGCAGTGTTAGCAGACGTTGGGAGTATAAGTAAGAGGGGAGGTGCAGCCCGGCCTGGGGAGACCCATGGCCCAGCCACGAGGGGCCGAGGGCTGAGGAGAGGTTGGAGGTGAGTGGCCAAGGGGCAGTGATCAAGGGGAGGTGGCCAAACAGGGTGGTTGGGACATGCCAAAGAGAGGTGGCAAAAAGGTGTGTCCTACAGGTGACAGAGAAGGGTCAGCTGAAGAGGAGTCGCTGAGGAGAGGAGGCAAGGGGTGGCCGCTGGCTTACCGAGGTAGGTTCGGCTAGTTCTAGGGCTGCAGCCTGCTGGCTTGATCCTGCCATGTTCCACAACAGCTCTTCCAGCGAGGCCAAGCCCTCCTTGGGGTCCAAGTCCAGGGACTCCTGCTCCAGCCCCTTGGGCAGCTGGCGGGCCAGTCTCTTCAGGCCCTGGGGGTCTGCAGTACCCATGTACCCCTGGGCTGGGGGCTCCTGGCTGGCTTGCAGTGCCCTCGGGTTTAGGAACTCGATAGGCGGTGGGCTCCAGTCGGTGGGGAACATGTCCTTGGCTACCTGCATCTTGGGCTTCTTTGGAGACTCGGGAGTTGGAGCCCAGGTGGGGCTGCAGAGCTGCTGGGCGGGTGGGCAGCGCCCTTGGTGCAGGGGATGACGGAAGACGCACTTCGGGTTGGGCGAGAGGACAGTGGCTGCCTGGATCCCTGCGGATGGGACAGAGTCCTGAGGGGTTCCTGCCCAGACAGCAAGCCACACTAGGCGAGGAGTGGGAGCTAGGTGCAGGGCAGGGAGCAAGGGTGGCCCCTCGACCAGGTATGTGTATGCCATTCCCTCTTCTCCCCAGTCTCAGCAGGGTTCTGCCTGTACAGAGGACACCCACCTTCTCTCTGAGGAAGGGCAGGCACTGTCTTCTGGGGCCTGGCCATCTGCCAACCGTGGTGGGTTCGTCCTGGAAGGAAGCACTCGTCAGGTAAGTGAAGCTCCCAAAGAAAGCTCAGGGCCCTGAACCCCTGAGTTTCCTAGACAGGATGACCAGGATCTGCTGGTGCCCAGGGGGGACTCCTATTCCAGGTCTACCCCACAGAGCTTCGTCCACTGCCAAGGACAAGGTACTGAGGTGACAGGGGAGTGATGTCATTTTTCACTTCAAGGACACGATGGGCAGTGTGGGGTCACTGACATTTCCTTATACCTGCGTAAAGTGGAACCAGGGGCGGGACCGTGGCAGTAAAACATGATGCTCTGTGTGGCTGACCCACACGGAGAGACTCCAGCAGCCAAATACCTCCCTCAGTGTGCCGGACACACACGGGCCCATGATCTGGGGCTGGCTGGGACTGGAGGTGGGTCACAGCACCAAAACCCTGTTGGGGTGCTGTCTGTGTCTCTTGTTGATGAACAGAAAGAAATAAACTGGGAGGAAAAAAATTAATAAAACAGCACAGCTCAGCACGA